TTCTTTTTTGTGTTTTCCATTGTCTGTATTTGTTGAGTATCTAACTCTTCTGTCATAGCATTTGGTTGTTTCACTTTCTCTATAGAATTCTGTATAGATGATTCTTTGGTTGAAGTCATAGTTTGAGTTTGCATATCCAGACTTATACGGAGAGTTTGGATAATCGCTTTTAACATACAAAGAATTTGTTCCTGTTCTTTCTTTGTAGGATAAATCCATTCCTGTTCTTCTTTCATTGTAGTATATTAAACTAAAAAAACCTTACAGTCAGAAAGTCCACAAAGTAAGGAGCTGAGCTGAGTTTCTTGCAGCTGGTGTTTCAAGGTTGTTTTATATCATATCTATTTTCAAAGCTGTCAACAAGTCTCTCTTAAAGAATAACAAGTTACAGTCTCAAATTTAACCACCAGATGTCATCTCAGAGTTAGTTGGATTTTTGTCAGCCCCTCCCCCCATTTTAAGGAAAAAAACCCCAAATCTTCAATAGTAGTTAGAGTAAAAATCAGGGAGAAAAAAATATAGAAAGTTACAAGTCTTATAGTCCACCAATTTTAGGAAATAGAATTCCAATTAGGATCCCAGTATTTTTCCAACATTTTAAACTCCCGAGTGGTTGATCGCCGCTGTTTCTGGAGGGAGGGCTAAAATCCCCGTTCCCTCACCACAGGAGGGAAAGTACTTTAGCAGCTTATGCAGGTAATTAAGTAATTAGGATGTAAAAGAGGCAGATCTCACCCAGTCTCTTCCACGCTGCTTTAAAGTTGCCAGATGGTAAATGCGACTTCGACTGTTAGCAGCCTAGGGACGAGCCATATTTCTATGGCCGGTCCTTTCGTCCGCCGGTTTGGAGGGATTGCCAGCTCTAATGGGAGAGTTGCTGCTGTCCCATGATCCAGCAAAAGCCCCTCCTTGCTGGTCACCTCTTCAGGGTGACTTTTGACCCTTTTAAGGGGCCCCCAGCAATGCGAAATTGAATGGGGGACAGAGAGCAAATCTCCCAGCCATCCATGGTGGCTAAGTGTCAAACTGGAAGCCATTTTTAAAAATCTCTTTCTCATTACTGAGAGACAGCAATGGTGCCATCCCATATTGTATAGGTATATTGCAGTGTTAATCCTTCTAGTTTAAATCCTGAGCTAGATAAAAGATTGATGATTAGTTCCTGTACCTGATGGCAGTATTCATTGATTGGCTTTGTTCAGTGCTCTTTGGTAAGCTTATTTTAAGAAAGAATTCTGCAGTACTTTTTCAATTTTACCAGCGTGATTATTCCTTGAAAGTATATACTCTAAGCTATCCATGAAGCAGCATTTTATTCTTTGACAGTAATTAGTTAGAGGACATTGAATATTGTGTTCTATACTGCTGCCTTTTACTATGTGATTAGGAAAAAAAAACATAGGGCAGATTACTAAGGTCTTTATGGAACCTAAAGCTGAATATCAAAATCTTTGACTAACATATCCCTTCTCTTATGCTGATCATCAAATGGCCATTTTTATCTTTTGGGTTTTTTTAAAGGTAGAGGAGGAAGAGCGGGTAGGGGGAGAAAGAAAAGAAGAAAGAGAAGATCTATATGGCTTCCCATTTCATCTAAGCAAATATAGGTAGTGTCAGAATCCAATTACATTTCAATTCTAGCTACCTACTCTGAAAAAAGATCCATTTCTTACTCTTTGTGGATTCTATCATACTATGAAAGGGGAGGAGGGAGCAAGGGGGTTTATGACTCTCACTTCCTTCATTTAAACTACAAAGGACTGGATGTGATTCTTATCAAGAGGACTGACCATAACAATATGGCCATAGCCTTTCATCTACTATCTCTCTGAAGTCTCCCTTCTGCCGGCAGCAAGGAAAAAGGGGTGGAAATGTAACGCCTGGGATCGTCGCTGGAAGGACAGTGGGGTGGGGGCTGCTTGGGAACACTTAAAACATTGAATGGTAGGGGTTGGCCCCTCAGATCCTCTCTAGAACGCCTGCAACCATTTTCTCTTAATAAAGATGCCTGTTGGAAGAGATATTCCAAGAGTTCTGTCTTCTTAAGATGTAAAGTGGGGTGGGTCCTTACAGGCAGTTACAACAGATAAAAACCACAATCCAATAAAAAAGATAAAAATCAATATGCAAACATATAAAAACATCAATAATTTTAAAATAAAAAATCGTGATCAACATCCTGTTGACACTAATGTTTGTTATTCTGGGTATAATAATATAACTTACAGTATATACACTCCTCTTTGTTTGCTTCTTTATTTAGCATAGTTAAATTTAACAATGAACTGTTATGCTGAATACATGGCCAGTCTATAAGGTCAACATCATTTGCATGAAGTTAGAAAGAGACAGGACTTAACTGGAGCACTCATGGAATGCCTTAATAAAATGTATGGTTTTCACCCAACTCGCTAACATGACAAATCTTCAATTAGTTAAAAAAGTTAAATATTTGGGTATTTATTTAACAGCGAAATATACTACACTAAAAGAAGATAATTATGAGAGATTAATGAAACAAATAAAAATAGACTTGGAAAGATGGGAAAATCTTCAACTATCACTTTTAGGAAGAATAGCGACCGTTAAGATGAACATTTTACCAAAGCTAATTTTCTTATTTCAAACAGTGCCTATTAAACTTACTAAGAATTTTTTTGATGATTTAAATGCAATGATTCTAAGATTTATATGGCAAAAAAAAGAAAGCGAGAATCAAATGTAAATTGTTACAAGAATCTAAGGATAGAGGGGGCTTTGGACTTCCAGATTGGAGACTTTACCATCAAGCAGCTATTTTGCTTTGGCTTAAAGAATGGATTGTATTGAGAAATAAAAGATTGCTTTATTTAGAGGGACATGATCTTCAGCTAGGTTGGCATGCTTTTATATGGTACGAGAAATCTAAAGCACATAAGTACTTTCAAAATCATGCGATAAGAAATGTACTACTTTCAGAATGGGAGAAAATTAAACATAAAATATACATGAAAATACCTGAGTGGCTTTCAACAATGGAAGCATTTCCTTATCCAAATCTGATTAACTACGACAAACTGATTAGTTATAAAGATATTTTAGACAAAGAGGGAAAACTTAAGTACAGGCAAACTTTACAACTACAAGGTATTGACTTGACATGGTGGTCCTACTTGCAAATCCAAACAAGATATGAAAAAGATATAAAATTGACAAGTTTCTACAAAGAACAGACCCCACTGGATAAAACTTTGTTAAAAACAGATGAGAATTTGATTAGAAAACTCTATAAATTTCTTTTAAACTGGAAGATGGAAGAAGAACAAATGAAAGAAACAATGATAGTATGGGAAAAGAACTTTGGATATTCTATAGATTTGGAAGACTGGCAAAAACTTTGGGATAAAAATATTAAGCTTACAAAAGCGATAGCATATAAAGAAAACTTATATAAGATGTTTTATAGATGGCATATGACACCAGTTCGCTTAGCGAAAATGTTTAAAAATGTCTCGGATATTTGCTGGAAATGTAAACAACAGCCAGGCACTTATTACCATGCCTGGTGGACATGCCCTATCGCTAAGAAATTTTGGTCTAAGATCCATAGATGGTTGGAAAAGATGATGAAACTACAAATAGAATTTAAACCAGAATTGTTTTTGTTAGGAATATTAAGACCTAATTATGGCGAAGAGAATGACTACTTGATACTGCATGTTTTAACTGCTGCAAGGATAGTATTTGCCCAATTTTGGAAAAATGAGAATCTACCATCTGACCAGATTATTATTACCAAAATTTTAGAGTGTGCAGAAATGGATAGACTAACATTAGAAATGAAAGAAAAAGATGACTCAATTTATTTTAGAACTTGGGAAAAATTTTATCAATGGTTAGACATGTTAGAATTTGAAGGATTCAATATTTTAGAATAGTTGACTGATTTTTAATCGAGTTCTAACTAACATTTTGATGATACAATTACTTTTCCTGATTTACTGATTTTCATTTGTTACTTTTGATTGTTAGGATTTATTTTTTTGAGATTTTATTAGTAGTGTTTACTTAATAGATCAACGTATTTGTTTACTAATTGTTTTTAATATATTACAGTTTAAGCTTTGTTTAAAATGGTTGAATATGATATTTACTTATTATTATGATCTGGACGGTTGCTTGTTTGTTGAAATATGTGATTGTACCTATCCTTATTTTACCCTAATTCCTTATTTCCTTCCCCCCCCTTTCTTTTTACCCCTCCCTTTACCATACCTGTATTGTTCCTATTTTTCCTTACTTATATAAATTTAATAAAATTTTCTTAAAAAAAAAAGTATGGTTTTCACATGTAGAATCAAATATGTACTTTGCTTATCAAGTTTTTCTGATATTATACTTAGTAAAAAGAATTCAGGTTTATAGTCTATGTGTTTCTCTAACATTTTTTCTAACCAAGTGTGGATTATTGTCCAATGTCTCCTTGCTTTAACACATGTCCACCACATATGATAATAAGTACCTAGTTTGTGTTTATATTTCCAACATTTTTTTGACATATTTTTAAACATTTTTACTAATCTTGTTGGTGGTAAGTGCCATCTATAGAACATTTTATATAAGTTTTCTTTATATGAAGTTGACATTGTCAATTTATAGTTTCTTTCCCACAAACTTCTTGAAACATTTTCAATTTAATTCTAGTTTTCTTTCCTTGCCAGATAAATTTTTGAATTAGAGAGTTTAAATCTTCAAAGAATTTTTTCTCCAGTTTTATAGATATTGTTTGAAACAAAAATAATATTTTGGGTAATATATTTATTTTTACCGTAGCAATTCTTCCTAACATTGACAGCTGAAGATTCTTCCATTTTTCCAAATTAAGCTTTATTTGATTTCACAATTTAATGTAATTATCTTCTTTTATTGTTGAATATCTTGCTGTCAAATATATTCCAAAGTATTTGACCTTTTTAACTATTTGCAATTCTAAAACTTACGGTTAAGGTTTTAAAACCAACCTTTTCATTTTTCTCTTGCAAGTTCTCAGCTTTGTTTCTTTTTATTCTTTGTAATTCCAAGAGGAAGATTCTCTTCTTTTCCAACCAGTCCTATAAAGAGAAATAGGTAACAATATGTGAATTATAATAAATCAATGAAAAGTCTTGTGTCACCTTGTGACAATTATGGCATATGATTTTGTTAAAACCTCACATTGATTTCTGAACCACCCAGCAGTAAATCATCTGGGACACATATAAACTCAAGCTTATTACAAATGATAAATCTGATTAAATGCTATTTTTTAAAACTGGCTTTTTAAAAATTCACTTATTCTTATAACCCAATTGGAAGATTATCCTTCTAAAACATTCTTAGAAGCCAAAATTGTTTTTTCTGCACATGAAGTGGCAGCAGCAGAGAATAGTTTCCCTGGAAGATCAAAGCAGATGATTCATTTATTGTCTAATGGGAGCTGAGATTAGGCTAGATGAATCTATATCCTCCTCAAGGGGAATAACTGTAATGTGGAATCTTCACGAGGTTCAGTGTGTGTAGGATTTTTTTCGGTCTAACCTAATAAAGCTCCTGCATTGTATTTGGGATTTTATGTAGTTTAATAGGATCGAAAAAATCCAACAATTTAACATTAAATGAAGAAATTTAAGACAATTTGCCACTTCGTTAAAAAAAATGAAATGTAGGGAAGGCCCAATACCAGTGTAAGATTTCTTTCTTTCTTTCTTTCCTTTCTTTCTTTCTTTCTTTCTTTCTTTCTTTCTTTCTTTCTTTCTTTCTTTCTTTCTTTCTTTCTTTCTTTCTTCCTTCCTTCCTTCCTTCCCTCCCTCACTCCCTTTCTCTCTCTCTCTCTCTCTCTCTCTCTCTCTCTCTCTCTTTCTTTCTTTCTTTCTTTCTTTCTTTCTTTCTTAATACAGCAACCAATCTAAGAATCATCTCACAGATATGAGAAATCCAGAAACTGGCACTCTAACTAAACCTACAAACTGCTAATGTGACAGATTTTATCATAATATTAAATATGCTAAACACATACCTGATAAACAGCTGCTCGTAAACTATCTGCTTTATCTAGGTCAGCACTGTATTTTTGTAGATGCTTATTGTCCAAGAACTTTAATGTCCCTAAATATTGAGCAGATGTACTTCTTGTGACAGGAGAGTATTTCCCTGTTTTCTTCAAATATGTAGTGCTCAAAGACCTGTAAAATAAAAGTATCATACTAAATTATTAATCAGTTAAATAAACTGATATTTAGTGGTATTCTAAGAAAACATGCATTCTTAGGTTTATTACATTAAAAATACAACTGGAATACTGAAAGAAACAAAATTATTACTTTGAGCCTAATATATTCTATATCACAGGTGTCAAACTCGCCGCGTCACATGACATTTTTTTGCATTGCCGGAGTTGGGGTAGGTACTGCATTTGTATGATGCAACTAGCCCGCAGGCTGGCAGTTTGGCACCCCTGTAGTCTATACAACCCAGCAGGCAAGCTTCTTGCCCTCTGACTGAAGCTGCTAGAAGTTGCAAAAGCCCTGTTCACTCTGCTATCCAGTTAATTATTAAAAGGAGGAGCTGAGAAGATTATGACAGAAACTTAATTCTATGGAAGAAGAAATATAGAATTCAACATTTCCACATTATTTGAAGAACTATTATATATCTGTGAACTAGAAACTAGAACATTAAAACATTATTCTATGTAAGTGAAAACAACTGTCTTTTTTTAATCTAACATTTTTTATCTGGGATTATATTATTATATAATTAATGTAATTATATAATTAATTTAATTATTCCAATAATTTATTCCTGAGATCTAATAAATATTCATGTAGTTAATTTAATAGCAAATATGATTAGTGACAAGCAAGTAAAAAAATAAAAAGGACTAAAATATAGTAAGAATAGAAATATAAGGGAAGGAAGGAAGGAAGGAAGGAAGGAAGGAAGGAAGGAAGGAAGGAAGGAAGGAAGGAAGGAAGAAAGGAAATTAGAGGGTAAAGAAAACTGGTAAGAGCAGCTTCATGGCAAAACTAGTATTTTCCTCCTGTGTATGTGTCATACATTTTTTAAAACTCTTTCTTTTTAATCTGCCTGGATTTTCCTTTTCATCAAACAGTATAACCTGTTTCTAAAATAAAAAACATTAAATAGATTTTGTTCAACAAAAACAATGATTTTGGGAAATATAGTAATATCAATCATAATTAAAACATATTTCAGAACATTGGAAAATGAGTACTGCCTCTTGAGTGATTTGACTCACAAATCTGATTACATGTATTAAATTATATTGTCTGTAAATTATATATCAGAATATAAATTGTGAACATTTTAATATTATGCCACTTCATACAACAGATGTGTCAAATTATTATTAACTATGTAGCATATAAATAATGAAGTTTCCTAACTCAAAAAGATACAATTATTCATATTTCTAAATAGTTCTTTGGGGAAAATTAAATTTCCTACCTGATTTTAGCTTTTTGTGGAGCTGCTTCTACTTCTTCACACTCTTCCTAATATAACAAAAACAAAATAATAATAAAACAATAATAAAAAATAAAAATTGGTTGTACAATCCAAATTGCCCATTTAGTACCTATTCTGTGATGTGGATGTATGAAATTAAAGGCCTGAAAAAAGATAGAAAAGTCGTGATATACAATTGCCTTTACAGCATATACCCCAAGTTTAACAAGATCCAAGGAGCCTTGCTTGATGTAATTTTCTTTTCCTTTTTCAAATAGCCCTAGAAACTTGAGCTACATTCCAGAGTACCGTATTTTCCAGCTACAAGATGACTTTCTAAACCATAAAAATCTTCTCAAAAGTTGGGGGTCGTCTTATACACCCAGTCGTCTTATACGCCAGAAAATATGGTATATCAAAGCAAGCTCCCCCGTATCCTGCGCCCCATACTCCTCACCCCTTGGCGCGGAGATTGGCTGTCCGGATGAGAGTTTAAGTGTCCCACGTAGCCAAATAGCCCTAGAAAAGTGTCCCTCCGAGAAACAGCTGGGAGGAAGGGTCGAGGTTGGAGCGTTGGCAAACCAATGGCGGGAGAGGAGCGCTGGCGGAGAGCCAGCCGAGTAAGAATGTCCGTGTTGGGTCAGCAGTGGGGGCTTCCCGAGAAGAAGTATCCCCACCCCCTTTGCTGCTGAAGTGCTGCTCAGCGCTCACAGAAGGCCAGCGATTTTGCAGAAGTGTCCGCCCCTCGGGCGGGGATCCTGACCCTCCCAGTCTAGGGTGGTGGAAGCGGGGCTTTTCCTCCCCTGGGGAAACCCCCTGCCACCAGCCTCTGCTTGGGTGGGTGGCAGGAGCAGCTGGTGGGAGCCGGCAGGCTGCGCAGAGGGTGTCGCTTCCTCAGGGTTGACCGCACCCAGTGCCGTTGCACTGAGCGCCAGAAGCCCTGCGACCCCAATGGACAGACGCTCAGCATTTCCTCCTCTGTGCTTGGCCACTTCTTTTGCAACCTGCTGCCATGGCTGGTGCTCTCGCTGTGCAGATGACAGAGTGATCCGGTGTGGGCAGCCTTGGGGGTCGGGCAAGTGGGAGTAGAGGGTGTTTTCAGATCCATTTGGAGAAAATGGATCCAAAGTCTCTACCTGTTGGACAGCTGGGCTTGGCTAGCACTGGACCCGCTTTCCTCCCCCCTCCCGCTATCCTTTAGTCCTCCCTGATCGGCACCTGGAAGAATGACCTCAACTCCACCATGGAGATCAACAGTGTCGGTAACAGCAGCCTCTACAAAACGGCAGTCTCGGCCTCCGACAATCCCATTGGGCCATCCCCGCTGCAGGGCATCCAGCACCAGGGGTCCCAGCCCACCTTTGGCTTCACTGTCAACTGGAACTTCTGGCTCTGCCAGAAGGCCAGGATTGCGTTCTTGTATGTCTGAAGGGGGGGGGAATCTCACCTCTGATGGTAGAATATTCTGGGGGGGGGGGCACAGCAGAAATCTTCTCCTGGAGCCCAGCAGCAGAAATTCTTTGGACAGTGGGATCCAAATTAGGCTGCTTCCACTGGAACAAGAGGGGCCAGCTAGTCCCATTGTGGTGAGGCAGTTCCTCATATGCTGCAAAGCTTCACAAGTGCACCCCCATGCTTATTATGGGATGTTACCCAGCTACATTTGTCTTCAGCAGATCAGGAACAAGCGATGAAATATAATGAAATGCTAATGTGTTTAGGACTTACATTATTTTTATTAGAAAGTTAAAGTACCCGTATTTTCTGGCTAAACCATGAAAATCTTCTCAAAAGTTGGGGGGCGTCTTATATGCCCAGTCGTCTTATATGCCAGGAAATACGGTAGCTACAGTATAAAGAGGGATTATAGGCACTATGTTATAAATGAAAGGAAATCACCATTTTCTCAGAAAAGGAGTAACGTGCTCATCAAATATAATTATATTTTAAAATAAAACTTATACCTGTTATGCTATAATTCAACACTTAACTCTGATTTTTTTTCAAGTATTTATTTTGCATGAGAAAGAAAAGATCATTCCATTAGAAACAAATATTGACCTTTGACACTTAACATAAGAACATATATCCAACTTTAAGCTTGTAATACTTATGTATAACTAAACATATTGTATATACCATATATGAACGCTTTACCATTATGCCTGAAGCAGTAGGTGTGAATTTAAATGGACTCCAGAAGATGGTAGAGGACAGGAAGACCTGGAGGAACATTGTCCATGGGGTCGCGACGGGTTGGACACGACTTCGCAATTAACAACAACAACAACAACATTATGCCACTTTGCACAGCAATCATGTTGTCAGAATCCAGTTATATTTCATTTCTATTTATCTCCTCCAATCTAAAATCAAATCTCACCTTTCCCTGGATTCTGCCACACTTCCAAGGGGGCAGGGGGATGTGCATGCGGGTTTACTGCTTTCACTCCTCTATTCGCTACAATGTAACCTTTTGCTTACTAACTCCGTGTCTGCTATCCATTACAATGTAACAAATTGCCTCCTGCACTATACATCTCTCTAAACCTTCTTCTCCCTAACCAGGCAGCTAGGAAAATGGGGGGGGGAGAAGTACAAACCTCCGGGACCTGGCTTATCTCTCCGTTTTCAAAAAGAGGTGTGAAGAGCTGTGGAACATCACACTACAAATGGAGCCGAATTGTTGTTATCTCCCCTTTCCCACAATGGACCTAACACCTGGGGATTGGTCAGTCTGAATCGTCCGGATGAACTGTAGGGTGGGGTTTGCTTAGGGGCACTTTAAAGTAATCGATTCATAAAGAAATCCCTCAGATCCTGTCTATTATGCCTGCTATCAACTACTCTTAATAAAAGTTCCTGTTGGAAGAAATTGTTTCCAAGAATTCTGCTTTCTTAAGATGTGGGATTGAAGTGGGTTCTTACATTAGTCAGGATTTGCAGTAATAGTCAACCTGGAAGGAAGAACCTTACTGGGGGACTTTGCAAAAATTACAATGTTGGACGAAGAGACAGGAAGGAAAAAAACCCCATGGAAAGGGAGCCTTCCCCCTGACTGGGATCCTGCCAGCAGTTGGGATCCAAAATGTCATATTCCTCAGGAGAAGGTGGAGGAGACGCGCAACCAAAAACCTCGGTGGTCAGTGGGTATTGGAAAGATGAGTGGGAAAAGAGATCGAGAAAGGTGACCCTGAGACGGGGCAGCCACCAACCAGAATGGAAGCAGGAGATGGAGAAATCCCTGAATGTTAGCAAAGAGGGTGGAAGTTGTACACAACACTTGAACTGGATCCTAGAGAAAGCTATTGACCTGATGAAAAGAACTCTTGGCTCTCTAGGAGAGGAGAAACCTGAGCCTCGCGGCCGCACCAACAGCCGGAACTGCAGCTAGAGAGGCACTGAAGGGGAATCAGAACCTGTAGTCCCAGGACATCCGCTGAACCAGCAGCTACCACTTCAGCAGCCCCCACTCCCCACCAACCTGCAAATGGCAATCAAGATGGGAGACAATACCACCGGCGGTGAAGGCACCAATCCATTCAAAGATTCCCGCTGCTGGACACAAAATTCAGGGGGGAGCCACCATGCTTGGGGTTCTTCCTAACTCAAGTCCTCAGCTACATGGAAGAATATGGACAAGACATCCCCAGTGACAAAGCCCGTATCTGTATTGTGCAACCCGCTCTGGATGGAGCAGCTGCAGACTGGATGGTGAACCTGCATGATTCCAACGTCCCAGAGCTCAACAACTTCAACCATTTCATGTCCTCTCTGAGAAGGTGATTCGAGGACCCCGACTGATTGCAAAGCCCGTGAGAGAATCAAAACAGTGAGGCAGGGCAGATGCCCGGTAGCTGAATATACACAAGAATTCAGGACCATTGCCAGCAAGCTGAACTGGCTGGAAGCCATCCTTCTTAGCCATTTCAAAGATGGCCTAAACTACGACCTGTATGATGCTTGCATGCCTCGAGGGGACCCACGCCAACTTGATAAATGGTACAACCTGGCAGAGGAAGCAGAGATCGGCCTACTGAAGAGGCAATGCCGAGGAAAACCATGGGGTCGCTCACCTCCTGAGCCGACGCGTGAGCCAGCAAAACCACTGGCTATGGCCAAGAAGTCAACGGGCTGTTTCATATGCTGGAGTGAGGGGCATCACATTGTAGAATGCCACTCGAAAACCCCCAGTGCAACCCAGACCGATCACCGGCCAGGAAATCAGGGAAGTCCCCAGCTAAGCCAAAAGAAACTGCCATGAGGGCGATAGAAGTGTTCTGTCCCAGCCTACATCCGTCCTTGTTATGTCACAAGAACAAACCCCTCTTAAACAGTAGGCTGGGAAAACCAACCTCTTTTTATTTCCAAAACAGTTTTGTTTTTCTCCAAAACAAAAACACAGAATACTTTCCTAACAGATAATTGGTTACAAAAGCAAACAGAGCAGAAGTTTAAACAAGAAATTCACTGATACAACAAAACAGACCATGATCCTTGGATGTTCTTTACAAACTGTTGCCTTCAGCAACCAGCACTGCCCACACCTTCCCTTTTTTAAAGCAGTCCCAAGGCTTGGCTTCTCATAAGTTATACATATGTATAACTAAACATATTGTATATACCATATATGAACACTTTAACATTATGCCACTTTGCACAGCAATCATGTTGTCAGAATCCAGTTATATTTCATTTCTATTTATCTCCTCTGATCTAAAATCAAATCTCACCTTTCCCTGGATTCTGCCACACTTTCAAGGGGGCAGGGGGATGTGTATGCGGGTTTATTGCTTTCACTCCTCTATTCGCTACAATGTAACCTTTTGTTTACTGACTCCGTGTCTGCTATCCATTCAATGTAACAAATTGCCTCCTGCACTATGCATCTCTCTGAACCTTCTTCTCCTTAACCAGGCAGCTAGGAAAGGTGGTGGGGGGAAGAAGTACAAACCTCCGGGACCTGGCTTATCTCTCCATTCTCAAAGGGAGGTGTGAAGAGCTGTGGAACATCACACTACAAACAGAGCCAGATTGATGTTATCTCCCCTTTCCCATGATGGACCTAACACCTGGGGATTGGCCGGTCTGAATCATCCAGATGAACTGTAGGGTGGGGTTTGCTTAGTGACACTTTAAAGTAATCAATCTGTAAAGAAATCCCTCAGATCCTGTCTATTATGCCTGCTATCAACTACTCTTAATAAAAGTTTCTGTTGAAAGAAATTGTTTCCAAGAGTTCTGCTTTCTTAAGATGGGGGATTGAAGTGGGTCCTTACACATGTCAAGTTTTATCAGCAGTCATGTCAATTTTATTCCTGACATGAATATATGATAAAGACCCATAAATATTACCTTTACAAAATCCTTTGAACTATCCATTACAGATTTTGAAGTAGTTAAAGCTACTTTCTGTTCTGATGGATCATCTTTTGGTGTCTCAATAGAATCATCTTCACTGGGTTTTAACATCTGCAATTTTTGTTCTAGAAAGTCTTCAGTTGGTTTATATTGCTTCTTAGTATTCTCATAAACTGTAGTCATCATTAATTCTATCACCGAAGGAGATTTTCTGTCATTCTCCAGCAATCTGAGATCATAGAAATTGTCAATTTCTTTATGTTCATTATCTATTTTTAAAAGGAAAAGTTAAAAATATATTAATTTTAAAGAAAATTAACAAAGATATAACAAAAGAATTCAGACAAATGTATATGAAGCTGTATACATTTATCTCAGTATTATATATGCAGCAAATATAAATCACACTAATTCCTTAGTACATAGATATCCATGTACACTAGGAAATGGGAAAACATATTTGATTGAGTGAAGAGACAAAGTTAATAGGATTAAGGGAGGCAGATACCTGTATACTTTCTCTATGTAAACAATATAAAGATAACTTCCTTTGTGCGTACTGGGCAAAAGATGGTTTCCTTTGGATGTAAACTACATATAAACATTCTATATGTGTGAGGTATATTCTGTTGAGCTTTATGAGAATCCCTTCTCTGTAAGATGCTGAACGGTGTGCATATGGTATGATTACGCACAAACCATGCTGAAAAGGTTAGTAGCTAATATCAAGGACTATTTGCCTTAATAAAATATCTTAATAGTTATAATTTTGCCACTAATAAACATGTAAAGCAACTCCATTGGGAGAGGTAAATATAAAACAACAGTCTCATTGCACACAACCAATAGAATTGTTCTTGATAGAAAGTAGAGCATAACTTTATTTTTTATTTATCTATTAAACTTGCATTCTGCCCATCTCACCAGAGGTGACTCGAGGCACCTTTCAGACATTCAATTAAAATACATTATAAAACATTAAAAAAATAAATAAGGATCACAAATTTAAAAACCAATTAAAGAAAAACTAACCAGGATGAAGTGAGGAGGAGGGCTGCTATCTACTCCATCAGCCACTTCCAACGTGGCACACCCCAACTGAGTTCAGACTAATTAGCACAGCCAAGTCTTCAAGGCCTTTTGGAAGGCCTAAAGGGTGAGTACAGATCTCATTGTGTGGGCATGATATTCCACATGGAAGGAGCCACAGCAGAAAAGGCTCTTCTTTTGGATCCCAGCGTCCCCAGCCTGCCTCTTCTACTAGCATGGTGGATCAGGCTAATCCCATCAAGGTGAGGTGGTTTCTCAGACAGCCTAGATCCATGACATAAAAGACTTTAAAGGTGATAACCAACACCTTAAATTGGACCCAGAAGTAATCTGGCAATCAGTGCTGCTCACAGAACAGCAATGTAACGGTCCATGCAGCAGATGTTTCTTGCTACTCTTTAAAAATAGCCCTAGCTTACCATCTGTTAAGGATGATATATAACTATGATTGATAATATAATCATGATCTCCATGTTGGGGAGATCAAGGTCAAATGCAGAAAAAGAGAAGAAGCAACTACTATTTTTCTAATAAATCTGGAAATCTTAAGTCTTAAATACCTTTTTGTATACTCAAGTATATTATAAATTTACTAAAGTAATATAATACAGCAAGCATTTAATAACTGCAACCCTGGAATTTTTTATCACCTAGGTCAGGGGTAGGCAACCTTGGCTCTTTTATGACTCGTGGACTTCAACTCCCAGAATTCCTGAGCCAGCTGGAGCCAAGGTTGCCTACCCCTGACCTAGGTAATCTGAGACAAGTGTACCGGATTTTCCGGCGTATAAGACGACTGGGCGTATAAGACGACCCCCAACTTTTCCAGTTAAAATATAGAGTTTGGGCTATACTCACCGTATAAGACTACCCCTCTTCCAATGCACACCAAATAAAAATTTAAAAACATCAGATTTGATTTCAATATGGTAATTTTAATTCAAATGCTTATGACATGCAGGTACTTAGCAGAAAAACTGTCATTTATAAACATAAGGCTGTCATCAAACATATAAACATAAAACAGTGCAAGTGGATTAAACTTTTCCTAATTCACTCTAAAGCTGAAAGGAAGGATAAGACAATAAAAACATGGGAGCTGCCATGCTGTTTGTTTTCTAAGCTGTCAACCAAACTGAACTGATGATGAGAGGAGGAAGATAAAAAAACAATAGAAAGAGCAAGTGCCGGGCAAGTCCCTGGCGAGTCAGCAACGCACGCCTCCTTTCTCCCTCCAATCCTTCCTTCCCACCCCGATTTCCAGCTCGGAAAATGCAAAGCGTGTGTGTGCGTGCGCGTGACCTCCTTTCCCTCTTCCCTCTCCCTTCAATCCTCCCAGCTCAGAAAGCAGCGAGGAGAAGCGTGCGCACACACACACACACACACACACGCCTCCTTTCCCTCTTCCCTCTCCCTCCAATCCTTCCCCCTCACCCTGATTTCCAGCTCAGAAAGTGCAAAGAAGCGAGGAGAAGTGTGTGTGTGTGTGTGTGCGCGCGCGCACACACACACACAAACACACGCACGCACGCAGGCACGCCTCCTTTCTCCCTCCAATCCTTCCTTCCCACCCCGATTTCCAGCTCGGAAAATGCAAAGCGTGTGTGTGTGTGTGCGCGTGGCCTCCTTTCCCTCTTCCCTCTCCCTCCAATCCTCCCATCTCAGAAAGCAGCGAGACGCGTGTGCACACACACACAACACACACACGCCTCCTTTCCCTCTTCCCTCTCCCTCCAATCCTCCCAGCTCAGAAAGCAGCGAGAAGCGTGCGCACACACACACAGACACACACACCTCCTTTCCCTCTTCCCTCTCCCTCCAATCCTTCCCCCCCACCCTGATTTCCAGCTCAGAAAGTGCAAAGAAGCGAGAAGTGTGTGTGTGTGTGTGTGCGCACGCGCGCACTCACACACACAAACACACACACGCACGCACGCCTCCTTTCTCCCTCCAATCCTTCCTTCCCACCCCGATTTCCAGCTCGGAAAATGCAAAGCGTGTGTGTGTGTGTGTGCGCGTGGCCTCCTTTCCCTCTTCCCTCTCCCTCCAATCCTCCCAGCTCAGAAAGCAGCGAGAAGCGTGTGCACACACACACAACACACACACGCCTCCTTTCCCTCCTCCCTCTCCCTCCAATCCTTCCCTCCCACCCTGATCTCCAGCTCGGAAAGTGCGAAGCAGCAGCGAGGAGACAGATTGAGACCCACAGTCATTTACCAGCCTGTGACTTCAAGTTAGCAAAAAGCAGCTGCAAACCACACGCCTGCTAGAGGTGAGCCCCTGCTAGAGGTGAGCCGCGGGGACGGATTGCTGAAACAAACAGCTTAGAGTTTAATTGCTCTCCCCACTGCCACTCTACCAATCAAGGACTCTTTTTGAGTGGGGGGGGAGAGAAAACTTGATGAGTAATATACCAAACCACATGTGTAAAGGAATAAAATAGAATACCCGTATTTTCCGTCGTATAAGACGACTCGGCGTATAAGACGACCCCCAACTTTTAAGAAGGTTTTTGTGGCCTAGAAAGTCGTCTTATACGCCGGAAAATACGGTATTTATAATTTTAGTGTTTGTTGATTTTACTTAATTAAATCTAGATACTTAAAATGTATTTAAACCCAACAAGAGAAATATTGATTCCATGGAAGAAAGAATATAATGTAGCGCAGATGAAAATTTTTCAAGAGACTTTATTTTCTGTCATGTTATAGCACTGGACATGAATGCCATGGGAGGGAGGGATGGAGGGAGGGAGGAAGGAAGGAAAAAGGGTTAGGGAAGGGGACTTCCACAATGGATTGTGCTGGATTGGCAATACACTGCTTTAAAGCTGGATTGGAAGTGATCTTAAACATTAACCTATTTTAAAATCATTTACAATTTTATTAAAAAATGTTTTCTCTAGTTCTAGGGTATCAAACTGCTGACCTGTGGGCCAGACATGTCATGGCAAAATCACGCCCACCCCGTTACTGGCAATGGAAAAAAAGTTGTGATACATCGCAACACATTATGTGATGTTGCGAGTTTGACACCCTTGCTCTATTCTTAAATTTATCAAAATATGAATATATATTGGCATATAATTGTGAAAGAATTACAAAATAATTGGAACATTTAGGAATACAGTCAGCAGAATTTTGCACATTCAACGATCCCAATTCTCATAGCAAAATACCTCACTTTGCCCTAAAATCACAGAATGAAACAGTTAGATCTAGTAGTAGTAGTAGCAGTAGTAGTAGTAGTAGTAGTAGTAGTAGTAGTAGTAGTAGTAGTAGTAAAATTGGAAGGGACATAGGAGGTCATCTAGTCCAACCCCCTGCTCAGGTAGGAAACCCTATACCATTTCGGACAAATGGCTGTCCAGTCTCTTCTTAAAAACTTCCAGTGTTGGAGCATTCACCGCTTCTGGAGGCAGGTTGATCCAGTGGTTAATTGTTCTAACGGTCAGGAAGTTATTCCTTAGTTCTAGGTTGCTTCTCTCCTTGATTAGTTTCCATCCGTTGCTTCTTGTCCTGCCTTATAAACTTTCAATCAGCAAGTGAATAATCACTTCTTCTATAGCAACTAGTACTTGGGTTTCATCAATGCAAAACACAAATTGCAAGACAAATAGCCACACAATCATGATTTATATTTAAACTATGAAAACTGGCTTAATGATATACATCAGCAGCAACACAGGCTTTTTATAATAGAAATTTAATTTAGAAAAGAGGCTATAAATCAATATCTATCTATCTATCTATCTATCTATCTATCTATCTATCTATCTATCTATCTATCTATATCAATATCTATATAAATATCTATATATCTATATATATATATACAGGTGAAACTTGAAAAATTAGAATATCGTGCAAAAGTTCATTTATTTCAGTAATGCAACTTAAAAGGTGAAACTAATATATGAGATAGACTCATTACATGCAAAGCAAGATAGTTCAAGCTGTGATTTGTCATAATTGTGATGATTATGGCTTACAGCTCATGAAAACCCCATGTCAGAATCCAATTATATTTCATCTCTAGTTATCAACTATAGAAAACCCCATTTCTGCCTTCCCTGGATTCTGCCATACGGTGGAGGGAAGGGGGTGAACAAAGGGGCTTTATGGCCCTCACTTCCTTTAGTACACTTCAAAGAGACTGAATGTGGATATCGCCAAAAGGACAAACCATAAGAATGGGGCTATTACCTTTCATGTAGTTC